ATTTATTTACACAGTGTTTTGCCTTTCTGCATGCATTCATGGAAGGACCTCAAATACTCTTTGGAATCAGGCAAAGGACAAAGGAATACATGACCAGCTCCGCGTTCCCCAGCTCTTGGGCAGCAGGGTTAGGATTCAAGCCCACGGCGGACTGCAGCAGGCCAGGCCTCTCTGCTCTGCCAGGGACTTCAGCCTGCTCTGTGGCCTTCTGGGCACCAGGCCCTGTGCCAGGCCTCAGGATTAGGCTCACTTCTCCTAGACCCCGGCTTTGTAGGGGTCCCATGTGGCCTGGTATTCTGGAATAAGCTGGAGATGAGTGACCAAGAGCCACGGCCCCCTGTGGCCCCACAGTGTGCTTCCTTTGGCCCACCAACTTCTTCAAAAAACAACTTTTTCAAATTGCCACCACCATTTGAAATTAAGATTGTATAGTTTTGAATTGTCCTTGTTTCTTATTTTCTCATGAAAAATTGGACAATCAAGCAACTCTGGGCCTCCAGTCCCACATGGCAACCATTGCTACCCCTCTGGTGGACACAAATCCTGGCGTGTCGTGCTGTCCCCTGCCTGGCCTGGTCTCTTACCAATGACCTCTCCCCTGGTGGCTCAGCCCAGGGTGGTGGTGACGTCTTGGGCACCCTCACTTTCCCAGGATCCAGCTGTAGTCCCAGCTGGGAGCTCAGCTCCCCTGGCCGCCCCAGCCCCACTCATTCCCTGGAGTGTTTCCTGCTCCTCTTCAGACCTGAGCCATCTCCTGCCCCCGAGGGTCATCTGGGACCTGCGTCCTCTGATCCCCTCCCCAGGGTCCTGCTGCAGACGCAGGCCTGGCCTGGGCCCCTCGTGCTTGTTGAATGAATGAGGGACGGAGGCAGGGAAGGAATCAGCGGGCGTCCGAGCTCTCAGGGTCTTGGCTCAGGTGGACGTGAGGGCAGAACAGCAACTTGGAAGCAGGAGGCAGAATTCTGTGCTGGCCCACTGCCCGGGTCCCCAGGCCTCCTGAGTCCCTTCGAGGGCCTCTCCCATGCCAGGCTATGCCAACGCAGACTTGGCGGAGTTTCCCACGCTGACGACCAGGGGAGAAAGATGTCACAGCCCGGGACAGTCACCCAAACCTCCTGGTTGCCCCTGGTTCCCTCTCCTGGGAAGAGCAGCCTGGGGAGGCTGGCTCTCTCTCCTTCTCCCAGAGCCTCCGCCTCCCCCAGGCCCGTCTTTAATTGCGCTGAGCAGCGGGAAGAACCTCGTGGCTCTTACATCTGTTTTCTGGAAGATTGTGAAGGCACATTAAAGTGTGTGCATGTGGGCGTCTGGTAGCGGGGCCTCTCTCGCTGCGTGAAATAATGGGGAAGGATACGGGGAAGGAGGAGAGCGAGGGAGAGCAGACAGACAGACAGGGAGACAGGGAGACAGAGAAACGGGGTGGGGGCCGCTGTGGCCTCTGTGGCCATGGCCATGTTCTGATTTGGGGCATATTTTCTTGCAGGTCCTAGATGGACATTTGGGGGAGTCACCCTGAAGCCTGCAGTGTGAGCCCTGCAGACACAGGCAGCAGAGACCTGCCCTGGGAGCTGTTTGGAGCTGCGGGGCTGCCTGTGTCTCTCACTGTCCCCTCTTGAGCCAGGTCCCATGTCTCCTCCCAAGAGCAGGCAGGAGGCAGGGCTGGCTCCTTCCAAAGCCCATCAGTGGCCTAGGATGGAAGAGGCCCACCCCAGCCCAGGAGGACGCTGGGCACACTCAGGGTGGCCAGGATGCTGGACGCCCTGGGAGCCTGGAGGGAGATGGCAGAGGGAGTCGGCGGAAGGTGGCTGCTGAGCCGATGGCCCTGGCACTGCCCAGGCAGGGAGAGGAGGGTTTGGTGAGCACAGCCCTCGCCATCCAGCCCCCAGGAGGGAGTCGGCAGCCCCCCTTCCACAGCTGGGCATGGAGACTCAGCAAGAGAGGGGCTGCCCCAGGGGACACACCAGGGGCCTGGGGCCCTCCTGACCACTCCCTGTCCCTCTCTCAGCAGCTTCTGTCTCTGAGCAGGGCTCTGAGGGAGTGGGGGGTAGGCTCCGCTCAGGACCCAGGATGTGCCCTGGCAGACACCAGGCAGGGCCCCTGTTCCTCCCTGTGGTGGCAGGCACGGGGCCCAGGGTGGGGATGGCCGGCCCAAAGGCACCACGGGAGGACCTTTCCCGGGAACTACAGAGGCTCAGGGACACAGGGCAGTTCTGAAAGCCAGGGCAGCATCTGAACAGCCATGGCACCAGCTGCCCCCTGACGGGTGGAGAGGAGGTGATATGTAGGGATCCTCGAAGGCCCGGCCTCCTCTGGCCCATTCTGTGGGGGAGCCAGGAGGTGATCTCATCCAGAGCCATGGGCTCAGAGTTGTGTTGATTCTACAGAAGAAGAGCATAGTGGGACTGTTTCCCGTGGTGCTGGGAATGGAACCCGGGGCCTCCTGCGTGCCAGGCCAGTGCAGTGCCACTGAGCTGTGCCGGGCCCTGCTGGGCATTATGGTGACATCTGCCTGCCGCTCCCATAGCTCTTCCCTCCTGGTTCTCATTCAGCAACCCGCTCAGTGTTTCGAGTTCCCCACACCCACAGAGGGCCCGCGTCCACCAGTTCTGGGCTGGACACCGCCTTAAAGCCTGTGCCCCAAATGGCCGAAGCCCACCCAGTCTCAGCAGCTCTCCGGAGTCTTGTTCAGAATGCTGGGCAGTCAGGCTTGCTGTCTCTGGGCGTGTGTAGGACACACAAGGATCCCCCCGACAGATGTTGGAACCATCTGGCGGTCACGGGAGAGTGGGCAGAAGGACGAAGCTCACGGCAACGCCGGGCGGAGCCGGGAAGACTGCTAGAAACGCAGCAGGAGCCTGATCCAGCCTCACCTGCTGCCCGCATCCTTGACGTAGCCAGGGAATCAACAGCGCTGTCCTGTTGACGGCCAGCTTGAGTCGGGGTGTGTGGCCCTTGGCTTTGAAGGACACGAGTGGTTGGGGGGTATAGAGCCAGCTCCAGGTCTGGAATCCACCCCCCTCTCTGAACCTCGTTTTCCACCTGGAGACAACGACCACCTCCGTGCTGCACAGAGCTGTCCAAAGACTGGTGACCTGAGTGACACCTCTAACACAGAGCTTGGCACCTAGTGCTGTCCCCAGAACCACATGCTGCATGACTCTCGCCCCTGGGGTTCAGGCCATCCTGCTTCTAGGCTTGCAAGGGGAGCCCCCGAAACCTTGTCCTGGGCCTGGGTATCACAGCCGCCGGGACTGGGGGAGGGAGGCTCTCTGATTATGGTCATTAGGGCCACCACCCTGGGGGTCTGGTCACGGCGCCTGGGCCAACCCTGGGACCTGCCTTGGGTCGGCCAAGCAGCCCCAAATATTTGCTTTGCCAAGTTTTTGACAAGAAGTCCATTTCAGGCCCAGGGAGGAGGACGGCGTGACCTGCCCCGTGGACAGACAGCCCACGAGCTCTGGCCCCGCGGCCGTGGCTGCTGCTCAAGGAGGCCCAGCCAGTTCCCGTGGGGCCAACACTCTGAACCTTCTGTTTCCGTCATAAAATCAGCACCGTCCTCGGCAAAGCCCGACCCACTGCACCTTATGGTGAGGAGAGGGCTCCCCTCACCTCCCGGGGCCCCTCAGCCGGCCCTGCAGGTGCCCTCTTCCAGGGGCATTTGATGTCCCCCTGTGCACACGCTTCCTTACCAGGTGGCCCTTCCCACGTGGACCCTCCTGCAGTCTGACTTTTAAACGGCTTCACTGGCCTGTTATTTTGTACAGGAGACTCACCCTTCACAGGGTGGGGTCCGCGAGCTCTCAGTGTGGTGGAGTTTTGTGGCCATCGCTGCCGGGGTCTGGCTGGGAGGGGCCCCTGGGGGCCTGGGGTGTCCAGGCAGGAGAGCTTGGAGGTGATGAGGGCCTCCTGAGAGCCGCGGCCACCTCACCGTCCTGGGGTGAAGGCACTGGGTGGTACTGTGGGCAGGTGGGCTGGCCGAGGTGGCCATGGGGCCCTGCCCGCAGCCCCTTCCCCTCTCCCTCTGCTCCCTGGCTGTGCCCAGGGAAGGGCTTCCTCCACCATCCTCCATGATTCTGGGCCTCACCTTGGCCAGAATGCAGGACTGGTCGACCCGGGAGGGACAGAACCTCTGAAACCAGGAGCCCAGACACTTCTTCTCCGAGATGCTCCCGACAGCCATCGTGGTCCCCGTGGTGAGAAGCCGATGGGCACTCTGGCCTCACGTGTTGCACGTGTATGCCCAGCCCCTCCACCCACCCCAGGAAGCTGCTCACTTGCTTCCTGTCCCCACAGACCTCCCTGTTGGGACCTTGCATGTAGGTGGCTCACAGGTACGTGACCCCTGGTGACTGGCTTCCTTGACTGAGCATGACGGTTTCCAGGCCCCACCTGCTGCCACGCATGTCGATGCTTCCTCTTCATGGCCGAGTAATATTCCCGTGCGTGGAGACCACGTTTTGTTATCATCCTCAGCCAGTGGACACTTGGGTCTTGCTCTGTGGCTGTGATGAATAAAGCTGCTCTGAGCCCTCACGTCCCTGTCCTCCTGTAGGTGCTCATTTTTACTTTTCTTGGGTGTAGACCTACGAGGGAGCTTGCAGGGCCCCATGGCGTCTCTTTGTCTGACTCTGATGGGCTGCCATGCTGTGTTCCACGGCAGAGCTCCATGGGACGTCCCCAACAGTGGTGTCCAGGGGTCAGCTTCCGCCTCCAACACTTGCTGCTCTTGGTGACAGCCATCCTGTCACCAAGAGGAGGCCTGAGGCGGACTCTTGCAATGGTCGTGACTGCAGCCTCGCTCTCCCACCTTCCCTAGGACCTCCCTATGGTGGCCCCATGGGGACCTGCCCACGCCTCCCTTTGGTGGCCCCACTGAGACCTGGCGACAGGCACCCCGTGTTCCACTCTCAGCCTGGTTCCTGCTGATCTCCCTGTTGATGGACACGTGGACCTTCCCCTGTTTTGGGCTACGATGAACACCCCAGGGCGGGGAGGGGTCTTGAGTGGCTCTGCCTGTGGCTCCGGGGGGACACTGGAGGGGACCACCAGATCTGGCTGGGGCCTCTCAGGAGCACAGAGGGGTTTCCTCCCAGGCTCTGCCCCTGACGGCTATGTGACCTCGGGGCAGGTCACACAAGTCTGGGCCTGTGAAAAGCCAGACCAGGCCAGGTCCCAGCCCCTGCCTTCCCATCCACTCCCTGGTCCTTCTGGTCACTTCCTTGTCACCATCACAGCTCCTCTGCTGTGGCCTCTGGACCTCACTGGCCTCTCCCAGGTACCCTGAAGAGAGGCACAGCTGGAGTTCTGGCTACCCACCTGTTCAGAGAAGGCAAGCGTCAGCTCACAGACTCTCAGCAAGTAGGCGAATGCCACCAGCCTGGGCCAGGCTCCAACCCGGGTTCTGTGGCCTCTCCACAGGTGACCGGGGCTCAGCATCATGGCTCAACCTCAGTGACCCCTCCAGAGAGACAGGCTGCTACCTTGAAGGAAGCTGCTGGCTCTCCAGGCCCTCTCTCTGCCCCTCCCCACCATTCTGAGCACCTGGGACTTGTGGCAATAGGAGGTGCCCGTGGTGCTTGGGAAGGAGGGAGAGACAAGGGCTGCCCACTTACTCCACGGGCCCCTTCATTGGAGGAGGCCACATCCTGCTGGATTCTGGCACCACTGCTGCACCTCGCCTAGCAGTCCCAGGGAGGGACCAGCTGGCTCCTCCCGACCTCCCCTGGTGTCCTCTGGGGTCCCTGACTGGTGTGGGGAGCTTCCCCACAGTGGTGAAGGGGATTGCCTTAGTCCGTTGTCTGAGACTGTAACAGAATGACTGAAGCTGGGTAAATCGTAAAGAAAAGAAGTTTGTTTCTTGCCATTCTGGAGGCTGGGAAACCCAGGACCAAGGGGCTGTGTGTGGTGAGGGCCTCCGACGCACTGTAACCTGGCGGAGGCAGCACACGGCGAGAATGGAGGAGGGCGCACAAGGGGGCCAGAGGCTGAAGGGCACCAGAACTCACCCTCTTGCCCAGCACCCACCCCAGGTGACGGCACTGATCCTCTCCTAAGGCTAAGTACTCGGAACCTGCTGGGTGTGAAGACCAAGGGTGCAACCCAACCCAAGTGAGCGCGGAATGAGAAGGACAGTGAGGTCGCCCAGCCTCCCCGACTAGGGAACCCGGCCACTATGCCCCTCTCCCAGGCAGCCAGGGTGGCCCTGGGTCTCGGCCTCTTCCTTGGCCCTGAAGGACCTGGCTGCAGAGAGCCCGGCATCCAGAGGTCATGGCAGCCTCGAGCCTGGCATCTCAGCCAACAGAAACAGGGCCGAGGGGCAGCAGCTCCGTCCCCAGGTGAGAAGCTGCTCCAGGCCTGCGCAGGCTCAGTGTCCCCCACAGGCCACATGCAGCTGGGACCCACAAGTGTGCACTCAGCACACGGCGAAGGACACAAACCGAGCACAGCACACCCACACACGAGAAAGCACCCCACACAGGCTCCCGGCAGGGCACGCCCTTCGCCACACGCCACCTGGCCAGCTCCCACCCCCGCGGGCACACGTCCAGCAAGGGCTGAGCATGGGCTGGGAAGTCGGGTCTGGAGAGCCAGGCGGAGGGAGCCCCGGCCACAGGGCTGGGGTGTGCGTGCAAAAGTGTGGGGGCCGTGGCTAGTGTGTGTTTCTAGGGCATGCCCACTAGCTGTATGTGAGTCTGTCACAGAGCCCGGGTTAGGGTGGCCGACGGGACTCAGCCTGTGGTCAGACACAGGCTGAGACTGCCCAGGGCTAGGGACTGAGCAGCCGGACCTTCACGTCAGAAGCCCCCTGTACCCAAGCCCTGCAGCCGCCTCTCCATTCAAGTCAGATGCGAGGAAGGGAGGTGGCAGGACCGGCCAGCTGCTTGCCAGGCCCCTGCCAGCCCCTGGACACCGCCCACCACCCTCTGAGGACCTGCAGAAAGGTATGTCACTCTCGTTTTACAGACAAGGACGGGGGAGCCTCAGAGACGGCTGGACGCTCCTTGGCAGCCAGGTTCATGTTGTCGGGCGGAAATTGTGACCTGGTGGCCCAACCACGGGCTTCTGATGCTCTGGCACCAGGTGCAGCCTGGCTGACCCTGGAGGAGAGACGCTCTGGTCTGGGTGTGGCTCATCCCCAAAACCCATGTTTGGGTTTTATTAGAGGATGGAGGTTCAATTGGCCATCGTGGGGCCTTCGGGAGGGGAGGGGATTAGATGACATTGTCGGGCTGGGACCCCTTGATTGAGTCCTGTGGCTTTGTGAGAAGAGAACAGAGGACACATGCATGTGCACACACACTCCTGTCTGTGGCCATGTGACGTCCTGCTCACCCACGAGTAGGCCGACGCCAGACACAGCCTCTCCCTCTCAGGCTGGAACTGAGCCCAGACTCACCTCTTTAGGCCCAGTCTGTCACCTCCTGCTCTCACCAACAAGTGAACTGACCCACTGACTCCCCAAGGGCTGGCCGGGTCCGCAGACCGCGAACTTTGAGATGAGAACTCACCAATCCAGAGTCTCCAGCCGTACCTCCTCCCAGGCTGCCACGCTCAGAGCCACTGGCCCCTGCCACATCCCACAGGGACAGGGTCCCTACAACGACGGACACCCTGTGCCCTGGAATCCACCGACGATTCAAACGGCCCTTCCCCTGCGGCCTGTCCCTTCCTGTGGGAGCTAGAATACCAGCTCCGGCCAGGCTCCCTTCCTCTCCTGCCCCTGACTAGGCCCAGCGTCACCTGGAAGGCTGAGCAGGATGTGGTGTGTCCCTCTTTGGGAACTGTGGGTGGACGCCTGTCTTTTCAGTGGCAATCCTGGCCTGCTGGCCTGGCCGTACCTGTGTAATGATGAAACCTACGTTGTAGGACTCTGATGAACGTGGATTCCCTAAAAAATGGCCCTGTGGCCCGGGGTTCCTTTCACAGGGCAGGGGCAGGGTGGCTTCTCCTTTCCTGTCTTGTCTCCCTGCTCACCATGGCCTGGACATCTGTGTCCCTGAGCCTGCCCACCATGTCAACCCAGTGGGCTTCTCTGACTACTGTGGGCCTCCTCCAAGAACCAGGCCTCCAGTGGACAGGCCTGGGCTGCCCTCCACCCCAACCAGGGGCAGGCTCTCAGCAGGCCGAGCCCCAGGGCCACCTCCAGCTATCTCTGAAGCAGATGGGGACTCTTGTACCCACTTCACACAAAGGGACCAGCCAAGGTGGGTAGTGAAGTGGTTGGAGTAGGGTCCCTGGACAGGCCCCTGGAGGGTCTCTTGGGGACTGCGCTTCAGGATTATGGGCCTGTTCACTGCAGGGCCAGGTTTGCATGGAGCCATCTGCATGTTGGAAGTGCATGGCCAGCTGGGCCACAGGGACAGGACAGGACCACAGACGGGGCTGGGGCGCTGGGTTGTCATGCACACAAACCTCCAAAATAAAGTCCAGAAGAAGACGATTTATAAAAAAGAAAATGGTGGCCCAGAGCCAGCCAGTAGTGAAGGGGTGCAGCCAGGTTTGGGGTTCCCCAATGGAGCAACCCTGGCCCTGCTTTTCCTTAGATTTGCCCCCAAAGGACAGCTGCCCACGTGGGTCTCAGGTCGCTCAGCTGTGGCCTCCTCCATTTCTTCACCCTGGTGTCCCCCGATGGCACCGACACATAGATGAGTGTGTGCGCAGAGGACCCAGGGACGGCATGTGCTCCCAGACCTCCTTCTGCGTGAGATCTTTCCTGGTCACTGTGTAAAATTGCCGCCCTCCACATCCCGGCCCCCACCCAACTTGTGCCCGCTCTGCTCCAGGGTGTTCTCCAGGCTCCAAACCTGGGAGGACCTAATCCTTCATCACTTTCCCCAGAATGCTCACAGGGCCCCGAGGGCAGGGATCTGGGTCTACGTCACCCACCTGCTGGGCCCAGCACAGCGCCTGCCCAAGGAGCACCACCGGGGACAAGCGAGTGGCTGCCTGACCATGAGTTCAAGGTCGGGCAGAGCAGGGGGCTTCCTATTCTAGAATGCCACAGATGATGTAGCTCCGGCACTGGGGCATCTCAGCCTCTCATGATAACTGGGGAAAGGGAGGACCAGGTGCTGGAAGTGTCTAAGTAAGATTAGATGCAGAACTCGTTTCTCCAGTCCCAGGTGTGCGCTCTCTCTCTCTCTCTCTCTCTCTCTCTCTCTCTCTCCCCTAGGGATATAGCCAAGGCTTCATGCCAAGCAAGTGCTCTGTGACCTCCAGCCCCCTCTTTCGTTTTCTGAGAACATGGTGCAAAGGCCTGCTGCCTTGAGAAGACACTGCAGCAGAGTGTGTCTGAGGGGGTGGAAGATCAGAGAGGCTCATTGATTTACCCAACATCGCACAGTGAGGAGGCACAGAGCTGGGATTGAAGCCTAGGGCTGTTTGATTCCCAGTCCAGCGTGCTGCCTGCAGAACCCTCCGCAAGCTCTAAACTGGTGCTCCTGTCAAAGTATATGAGCTGGACCTAAAATAGCATTTTCCCAAGATTCTGCCTCCAGCCTGCACTTCCTTTCTGGCCCAGTCTCGTCCAGATC